ATGAACTCCAAGAAATGGAAACTTTTTTACTGTACTGTTTGCAATTATTTCTTTGTTTCTTTTTGTCCTCCTTTGGTTTAGTCTATGTTGTCACAGTTATTGATTTATGTACCCTTTGTCTTGTATATAAGTTTATGACTTAGGGAAGAGGAATCACAGAAACAGTGGGACAAAGGACGTGCCAATTTAACAGTGATACTTACTAGACACTCTGTTGGAAATGAACTTTACAACTTGGGAAGGAGGTGGTCAGGGGAAAAGAAGGATTAAGTGAAGGAGGAGGTAACACTGTTCAAAAAGAAATGTACTCATTATCTTACTTACTTATAGAAATGTACTCATTATCTTACTTATGTAATTGTAACCCCTTTGTACATCACCTTTACAATAAAATTAAAAGAATGAATAAAGCCGAGCACTGGTGACTCATGCCTGTAATCCTAACTACTCAGGAGGCTGAGATCTGAGGATCACAGTTCAAAGCCAGCCTGGGCAGGAAACTCAACTGGAAGTGGCGCTGTGGTTCATGCTGTAGAGTGCTCAGTGCTCGTTTTGAGCTGGCTGAAGAGCTGAGGAATAGCACCCAAGCCCAGAGTTCAAGCCCCACGACGGACAAAAAAAAGAAAAAGAAAGAGGAACAAAAGAATGAATAGTCTAAGTGTGTTTACCATGCTAAAATTTTGATGAGTCTTCCACATGGTGTTGGGCCAGGACATGTCCCCCAACCCCTGAAGTAGATGTCTCTCTGCCTCCCCACCAGTGGTGGCAAACAGCTTCTGTTCTCAGTCCACCTAACTGTGTCAAGTGATAATGTGTTTACTCTATGGGAAGGCTGCCACCCATTGCACCCTGAGCAGGGTTAGGGAAGACTGCTTCACATAAAGGACCTCTGTCTAGTCTAAGCTCAGCCTGGATAGTGGGTAGTGTGGAATTTGCCCAACACCTTCCTCTCTGCCTAAGTATAACTTAGGGTACCCAGTACCTTGCTGGTCAGAGATTCCATGACCATCTGTACTCACCCAAGCCTGGACTCCTGTGTGTGTGTGTGTGTGTGTGTGTGTGTGTGTATGTGTATGTATGTGTGTGTGTTGTGAAGCTTGGGGCTCTGGAGAGAGCTGGGATTGTGGGTAAAGATTATATGAATACTCATTCTTCTATTATTGTTGGGATTGGTTCTTGGGGAGGGAGTAGTTTGGGGGAAGCTTGAGCTTGTGTCTTTATCAATAAACTCATTTACACACACACACACACACACACAGACACCCCACCCCTCCCCCCCCACGAGTCTATGAACAAGATAGCAGAAAACTTTGACTAGAACCATTACAATGTATTAATGTGTAGACTCTTTCTTAAGTAAGATGCTACTGGAAAGATATTTTTATGACCATAGACCTGTTTTGCACTCTTCTTTGAGCATGCCTCAGCGCTTGCTTTCATTTTGTCTAGCACAGTGTATCTTTTTTAAGATTTTTATTTTATTGTAAAGATGCTGTACAAAGGGGTTACAGTTACATTAGTAAGGTAATGAGTATATTTCTTGTCTAACATCATTATCCCTTTCTTTGCTGTTCTCCCATTATACCTTCCCCACCTACCTCATTCCTCCCCCGCTGAAGTTGTAAAGTTTATTTCCCACATAGTGTCTTGAGAGTGTCATTGTTGCTATGGGTCATCCTATGTTTTTGTTTTAGTGTTTTGGTATTCCCCCTCCAATCCCCAAATTAGATAAATGCATGTACAAGATTCAGGGTACCAAAATCAAGTACAGTGCCAACAGGGATATACCATAGGGGGAAGAACATATAAAGGAAACAAAGAAATCACATAGTACATTAAAAACAACAACAACAAAGAAAGACTACTGTGTCCATATCTTAAGGTTTGTTTCACTCAGTATTGTCTTATATGGTGATATGTCCAAGCTTTTGAGCTTTTCTGCTTATCTGATAAATTATCATAGATGTATACTAATTATTGGAAATGAGGGAAACAATGGGACCTATATTTCTTTGGGTCTGGCTTACTTCACTTATTATGATTTTTTCCAAGTCTTTCCATTTCCTGACAAATGGGGCAGTGTCATCCTTTCTGATGGAAGCATAGAATTCGTAGATAGATAGATAGATAGATAGATAGATAGATAGATAGATAGATAGATAGATAGATCACATTTTCTTGATCCATTCATCTACTGAGGGGCATCTGGGTTGGTTCCATATCTTAGTTATGGTGTATAATGTTGCAATAAGCATAATTGTGCTGGTAGCTTTAGTATGACCTTGTCTGTGATCATTTGGGAAAATGCCCAGAAGTGGGATTGGTGGGTCATGAGGGAGCTCTATCTGTAGTCTTTTCTTGAAGTTCATTTCCAACACCTGCAAGTAACTCTGTGTGTGTGTGTGTGTGTGTGTGTGTGTGTGTGTGAGAGAGAGAGAGAGAGAGAGAGAGAGAGATATTTAGTTTTTAAACAAGGATTGGTTTATGGGCATGGACTCTACTGATGGAATTGGCAATTGGCAGACTGGGAATTTATAAAGAAGACAGATTTTCAGGCCTCACCATAAAATCCAGTCCAGACACTAATAATTTATGCCTGTAATCTCAGCTTCTCAGAAGATGGAGATCTCAAGAATTGTGGCTCAAGATCAGCTTGGCAGGAAAGTCTGTTTGACTCTCTCTAAAATAACAAGTCAAAAGCAGGGCTAGGGGTATGGCTAAAGTGGTAGAGAACTATCCATGAGAACAAAAGCTGAACAAAGGTGAGGCCCTAAATTTCAACACTAGTGCTGGAAAAAAAACGAATCAATAATTTAAAAAACTGCCACCCAAAAATAAGTAAATAAATGAAAGAAATTGGAGTCAGGTCCAGCTATTTGTATTTTACTAGGCTTTACGAGTGATTCTGACATTACTACAGTTTGACAACATTGTCTGGAACACGCTCTTACCTTGTCTTAAAGTCTGCTGTAGTTTGGCAGGTTGTATGCCTTCAAGAGTCAATTTCATTATTGGGAGTAGCAGGGAGGAGGGAATTGTAAGAGTATTTGTGAAGAGGGCCAGCTGGTGGGCACAAGGGAGATGAGCTAGAGGTAATCTTTCCTGACATGTCTACTAGTGATCTGATTCCAACAAAAATGATGTATGGGAAGTAATATGTAAGTGCAAGTAGAAAGTCAACTGGGAACTAGAACTCTATCTTGTGTACCCTCCCCTCTCCCATGAACTATTTGATTACATGGACTAAATAATGACATTGGTTATATATGCTGCATTACATAAATTCTATCTTTTTATATCATCTATTTATACAGCTGCAGAATTCCCCCTTTACCTAAATTAGCATCATATTCTTATACTTTGATCTTGTTTTAGTCTTATCCTTTTATGAACAGTGCCAAAGTATATAGTTATTTAAAACCAGAAAGATGCAGTTTTCTTACCCACAAATTTCTTTTTCTCCTGTGACAAGATGGGAGAAAAAAAAACATCATCTTGGTAATAGTTGAAAACTTGTGTGACTGTTAGTCATTGTTGCTTGCTAACATTAAAATAACAATACCCAGATAGAGACCATTTGTAGTGTCTACTACTTAACAATCCAGAATGGTCAAACTAAATATGATATTTTGAAGAAAATTTGTGTAGAGGAATATTTTCTGTGAGGTTTTTTTTATTATAGTTCAATGCCCATTCATTCATTTTCACTTTCCCATAAATAAATCCTTTTTAAAGTTTATTAACTGTTTTTCCTGACTTATAGGCTGAGATAAAATGGGGGATCATGAATTTTGCTTAGGGTTAATTTCATTGTGAAGAATCTGCTGAGAAAAGTTAAATCTTGATGAAATGTAGTTTTGAAGATTCATTGATACAATTAAATTGATTTTCATAAGATTGACTGTAACTTACTCTTAGAAGGCAACATGAACATGCTCACATGTGCAAATATGATTATAAACTTTCATTCTTAGAAAAATAGAATATTCTATATTATAGATAATATTCTATATGATAGAATCCCATCTTCTATAAATCACAAGTTAAGATATTATATACCCCTGCCTTTACACAACTGTATCAGAGCCATTGACTTAGGGTTGCCCTAAACAAATTCAATTATATTATCTATAAAAATTATTCATCATAAAGCATATTTTGCTGAATGCCTTTGTACATAATATATAAATGACCTGAATGAATGAATGTTATAATGATTTAAAACAAAACCACTACAAATATGGATGTTTGAACATCACACACACACACACACACACACACACACACACACACACACGTCAGACAAAGAGATTTATAAAACAGAAATCTTAACAAATCATAATTTAAAAATTTCACCAATTGCAGATTTGATCAGTTAGAAAGACAATAGATTTATATTGCTTTTAACCCTGCGGAGATTTGTATTTGTAGGATACTGTATTCCAGAAAAAGCCTCTTCCTCAGAAGCATTATAATACTCAGCTGGTGTAAAAGGCTTTTAGAATGCTCATACTGGCTCAACCGCATGAGAGCCCCAAAGACATTCTTATGCTAATGATTTATTCAAGCTAATATGTAATATGGAGAAAGCAACAGGTCAGTAGTTTGAGCTTTAAATAGAAGCTCCAAATTTTTCAATGCAAATCACTTCACTTTTATTGGTAAAAAACCAAAAGTACTATGACTTCATAATCAAATATTTCAAGATATTGAAAACCATTTATTGATAAATATTTTATATACATTCAAATGTATGACATTTGTGTGTATGATAAATATATATGAATGTAATTTTATGTGCATACCTGTAATTTTCATAGGTAGCTAAGTTATTTTTAGATGTTTAAGAATATGTTGAATATTAATTAGTGTTAATCACTGTATTATAATTCATAATTTAATACTGGAATATAGCATAATCATTTCAAAGAGAACAGTTTCTTAGATTTAATGGTGATATTAATTAAATTGACGTGTATGTTTCTGCTTTTTCTTTTTAGGCTGTACTTTGGAGGTATAAATTTTCTCAGCTTAAAGGCTCTTCAGATGATGGCAAGAGCAAAATCAAATTTTTGTTCCAGAATCCAGATACTAAACAGATTGAAGCAAAGGTAAACAAAAGAAATCCATCATCTAACTCACCTCTAATTAAATTGATATCATTAAGAAGCAGAGGAAAAAACTTGGGGAACCAAAAGAGCATATTCACATTCTCTGTTTACCTGAAATACTATGGAGACAAACACAATAAATTCACTATGCAATTTTAATGATGAGTTTTTACTGAAAGACATTAGTTAAAATAAATTACATATAACTCATTGCATTTCTTAGTTTAATTCCTTATGAACTAAATTTGTACCACACTAAAATAACATCCTGAAAAATAAATGAATCATTTGGGCTCTTAAATTTGCATTCCAAATAATAATTTAAAATATTTTAAAAACTGTGCCTATTTTATTTATTTCCTCTTTAATATGGGTATAAATTCACGTTATTTTAAGATCATTTTTGATAATTATATGTTTTTATGCTATAATGATCTATTGTAAAAGATACATTAAATGAATTATTTTTACATTACCTTATGCAATTTTTCAGTATACTGGAATATAGTAACCATGTTGTCTTTAACTTATCAGAAAGACTACTTGTGTTGTTATGAGTATATATATTTATATATTTTAATATTCAAAATCTAAATTATTTACATTATTTATTATAAAATGTATAGTAACAATGGTGAGGATAAATCATAAAATGTCCCAGTGTGGAGAAAAAGAATAAATAATAAATATCAACAGGAGGTACAATACAACGTTTCATGCCTATAATCCCAGCTATTAGGAGAGTTTGAGGCTAGTCCAGGCAAAAATTTAGCAAGAGCATATCTCAGAAAACAAGCCAAGTTTGGAAATGCAGAATTAGGGGGCTTGGGACCAAGGCAAGTCAGGCAAAAGACCTTATCTGATAAAGGGCTGGGGATGTGGCTCAATTGGTTGATTGTTTGCCTAGCAAGCATAAGGCCCTGAGTTCAAATACCCATTTTACTAAAATAAAACAAAGTTAACATATCAAAATGAAAGCTTCTTTTTGTGTACATGCAGACACAATAAAGTTTTTTGAACTATGAATTAGATTTAAACTGTTATATTCTTTTACCTATTTAATTCCAGCTGTAAAAAATTCGTTGCCTTGGGCTGGGAAGGTGGCTCAGTGGTAGAGCACTTGCCTTGCATGCTCGAGGCCCTGGGTTTGATTCCTCAGCACCACATAAGCAAAAAGAAAAAAAAAGCCGGAAGTGGTGCTGTGGCTCAAGTGGTAGAGCGCTAGCCTTGAGTTGAAGAGCTGAGGGACAGCGCCCAGGCGCAGAGTTCAGGCCCCACGACCGGACCCAAAAAAAAAAATTTGTTGCCTGGCATTTACATCCATCCAAGTCTTGGTCATGCGTATATTCTAGATAGTCTTTTGTAAACCTGAACTATGTTATGATCATGACTTTCTTCTTTTTATTTTTTTTAAACAAGGTGACCCTGCTTATGTCTATGTATCTGTTAACACTTTCCTTTTGACTTTCCTCCTTCATTTTTTGTTTGCATCCTTCTAGAATATCCATTTTGGTTCTCTATTTGTCTTTGGACTTGCCTCTCCTTGCACTTCCTGGACTCTGCTTAGGTTGTTTATACAGGGACTGTGGGCATAGTACTCTTACATTAGCTCTTTTCTCCCATGTTTCTTCAAAACCTTGGTTTTGCCATTATCATGATAGTACGTATATCCACATGCTTAGAAAATATCTTGGTGACTTTTTAACTGGCTCCTAGTTTTCAATTTCCCATTACCAACATGACCAGGTTCCTAAATGGAGACATCTGCCGCTTTCTTCTGTTTTTCCTCCTTTGTTTCTTCACCCAGCACCAAGTGTGAACTTTTCATTTTGTGCCAGTCACTCACAACTGCTCTTCAAATTGACTTCCATTTTTCAATGTACAGCACTCATGTTAATCCTGGTGAATTCATTTTCATTGCAACAGTTCTATATTCTTCTGTTCATAGGATATTTTAGTCACCACCTGCTGATTACAAATATTGATTTTAAGGATTGAACTGTAAGTCTCTCTCTGGGATTTCTTAATCACAGCTGAAATTCTAACATTTGAACTGAGCCTCTAGCCCAACTCTTTGTACTTTTCTGTGCAAGCTAGTTTTGAACTATGATCCCACAGATCTCAACCTCTTGAGTAGGTAGGTTTAAAGGTACAAGCCACTGGGCTCTGGCCTGTCTGGTGCCTTTAAAGTCTTAACACACAAAGAAAAATTATAAATTAATCCACTGGCTACTAACTGCAATATTTAGGATTTAACTTACTGTAGTCTTACATATGCAGTTATACAGCTGAATATACTTGAATTTTTAGTTATTCGTTTCCTTTCCGCTACTAAATATTATTTATTTTCATTATTATCACACCTTAAACATTATTTAATTTCAAGTATAAGTTTTTAAGAAGAGAATTAGTGCATATAATTCACAAACTTACAGAAAGCAACTATGAAACAGCAGAAAGAACAGACTTAGTAGTTGCTATCTGGGCACCAGTGACTCATATCTATAAACCTAGCTTTCAAGAAAATGGAGTGCATTGATCATAATTCAAAGCCAGTCCAAGTGGAAAAGTCTGCAAAACTTCATTCCCAAAATAACAGGATAAAAGCTATACTGGAGATGTGGCTCAAATGGGAAAGTACCAGAGAACTATGGAGACTGTTTAACAAGAAAAGCACAGATCAATCAGAATTGTCAGTTCCATACCCATCCTTGTATGATTATACCCACTGTTGGCACCATAAAGATTATATGAGAATTAAAATTAGAACACTTCAAACATTAAAAAATAACCTTTATCACTATAATTTGTGAATGCCTACCATATGATCGGAGAAGTGAGAGAAGGGTAATAATGTGGAGATTCTTATGTGAATGTAAGTTTTTATTTGTCTCTGACAATTGCTCAGAAGTGCAAATTGATGAGTATGGGGTTTTGTTATTATTTTTTTGTTTTTTTTTGTTTTAGCTTTAGTAAAAATAAGCAAATCATATTACAGAAATTACAGAATGACTATGATATTTTATATTGTTCTCTCCTGCCATTCATAGCAGTGCACAAGTGATCCAGTTTCTCTACCATTCTGTTTATATTGCTATGAATGAAACTAGGCAATTCAGAGCAAGCAAATACTTACTGCCTCACAGTTCTGGAGGCCAAGAAGTTCAAGAAAATGGTATGGACATCAGGTGACAGCTTTCTTTTTAGTTCTGTGTTATGGAAGGTCATAAGACCAAACAGGAGACAGAGGGGCAAGAACAGAGGCAGAGACAGATACAAACAGAGACGGGATATTTTGGGTGGGAGGGCTTGCTCTAAGAGCAAAGCCACTTGAGATATGAAGCTGATCTCATCTTGAGGGCAGCACCCTAAGGAGCTCATCACTTGTTAAGTCATACATCAGAGATTCCCAATATTACAATAGAAATTAGATTTCAACAGAGGGACATTGACACCATAGAAGCATGTATTTTTGAAATTGTGTTTGTTTATAATAAATTAAAACCATGTGGAAATAAATTAATAATAAATGAAATATTTTTCTTGTTTATGTTTTTTATTATTTTATTTATTTTTATTGTAAAGGTGGTGTACAGAGGTGTTACAGCTAAATAAGTAAGGAGTACACTTCTTTTTGAACAGTGTACATGCTCCCTCATTTTCTCTCACACTCCCCACCTCCTGCCCAACTGCCCTCTCCTCAGTGGTGTAAAGTTCATTTCCAATGTAGTGTCTAGTGAGTATCACTGTTGCCTTGGCTCACCCTTTGTCCCATCATTTCTGTGATTCTTCTTCCTTCCTGAAAATCAGCCAAGCATACACAAGACAAAGGATGCAGAAATTAAAAAAAAACAGTGACAAAGGGCATAAACCAAAAGGAATAAAAAAAGAAAGAACTCCAAACAGTACATTATAAAAACCTTGTCTCCATTTCTTGGAGTTCATTTTGATAAGCTTCATTTTATATGGTCATATGCACCTAGGAGAAAAACTTTTCTCATCAAAGTATTAAAAAAAAGATAAAGTGACTATAGATCTTAAAAGGTGATTAAATTTGGAGGCCAGAATAATTTTCTTTTCTTTTGAAAATGAGCAAATTCAATTCTTGTATTACGGAATAAAAAGGATAGAACTTTCAACAAAGCACAAGTAGGTAGATAGATAAATAGATTTTTCTGAAAACAAATATTTTATAATCAGAGTATATGTAACAAAAATATGGTTTCTTAGAAGTTTGTAATTACTTGTATTGCTGTAATTACTCACATTAGAAAATTAGAAGTGTGGAGTAGTGTTTAACTCTTTGATTGTGAGAACACATCAAAAATATATAAGAAAGTTATGTGGGTTTACATAGTAGTAAAACAAAAACCTTTGCTTTGATTTTTGCTGTTGTTTTGAGCCTTGTAAGACTAAAGTTATTACATAGAAACAGGTTACACATATTTTCCTTGAAAGTAGGAACTCATAAATTCTCACTTCATTACACATAAACTTAATACATTTGCCATCTGTTTTCCAAGGCCTCATTAAACTTCTTGTAAATTCTCTGGTAGAACACAGGAATGGTTCCCTATAGAAGCGATGGGAAATTATATAGGTTTTTGTTTGTTGGTTGGCTTGTTTTGACAAGCTCATTTTATTGCCACCAGGAATTGAAGGAGCCCCCCCCCATGTATGTGATGATTATATATAATGTTAATATACATGTAATATATCTAGGCGTTCTAGATTTCTCACAGTGATTAAAAACTAATTTTTGAGGTAAGCATCTTTTTCTTTGTTAGTTCCAATAATATATATTTTTCTGAACATATATGTATCTTTCCATAAATAATATTTTTATTAACTTGGCCAGAAATTGTCTGATTTCAAAACAGGCTCTATTCTAAAAGACTACACAATTCTCCCTACAGGAATTTCCTATGCTAGTACATAAAGTATACTTATTACAATTTGCTATATTTGATCTCTGGAAGACAGAATGGAACAAGATGTGA